TTACGTGGCTTTGGGAAACCCAGTAAGTACACTGCGATGCTGAATTTGGAAGGCTTTCAGTTAGCAAAACAAACAGTGGCTGGAATAAGCCCACGAAAGGAAGCTGGATGCTCCTGGCAATGATGCAGACCTGTGATTTCGTGCCCAGTTAGGCAAGGAAATGGGCAGCGAGATCAGAGGCTACTTTGATTCAGCTCCTAGGAAATGAGCAGGTATCGCCAAGCCAAGAAATGAGGCAGTGCCACCACACAATGGCTGGAAAGTGGAAGGTTGGACTAGATAACAGTATTTACACGGTTATTACCAAGATCAGCAATTACCAGACCTGGCTTTTCAAGGCTAAGTTACCAGTTCAAAGGCAGGCCACCACAATGGTGAACAATGCCTGCTCTTTGCCTGCAGACCCCCTCCTCTGGGAAGGCTTCTGCCTCCCCTGCCAGCACTGACAGCAAAGGGGAGACCAAAAAGCATCTTTATGTGTGGGGCCATGGAACTCAGTGGCTTGACCCATGGCTGAGGCAGCATGCTGGGTTTCATACCTCTGCTGCCACGACCAAATCCACTCTGCTGGGGGAGGATCCATGTCTCGGCGGCACCATGGTAACCTCAAAGAGGAATAGGAGAGAAACAGCAGTGGACAGTAAAAAATATGCTGCGAGGAAGTGGGGCTAACAGAAGACAATCTCTGGTATTAATTAGCCGCTGCCCAAACTCGTGCTGGCATCAGTCCTGTTTTCCACCAGCACAAACAACATCAGAACAGGTTAAAATGGAAAGAGCCGAATCTATGGATCATTGTTTCTGAGGCCAATTGAGAAGAAATGCGATAATAGTTCAGGAAAGGGTGGTTTTCATAAGGACAATAATGGGGAAAACCAAGGAGGCAGCACTTTGTCAAAATGTTATCCCCAGCACCGACGTTAGGAAATTGGCTCTGAGCCTAAGAAGGGAGCCTTCCCATCACATCCCATGGCAAGCAGGGCTCACATCCCTACCCCACATTCACCAAGGGTCACAGGACAGAAGGCTCAGTGCTAAAGGAGATCCTCAGGCCTTAAACCGGACCCAAATGTGGAGAATTTGAGTTCAAGTGCTATCAGCTGCTCAAAATCCTCCCATTTCCAAAAGGAGCTGCACCGAAGGACTCACCCTCCCTTCTGTTTGGAGCATGCAGCTCCTGTGGGCTGGGGGTAAATCTGGCTGTCTTCCCTACTTTGCTTTTCTGCCCATCATCTGTGTCCCACAGTCCAACCAGCCAAAGGAAAACTGTAGTCTAAATCTAACACCAAAACTTTGGAGAAATTCCTAACTGTGTAGGTTTGCTGAGCAGGCTGCACGAAACCACCTGTCTCGGCATCAGCTCAAGTGAAGTCACCGTTGAAATTAAAGGCAGTATTTTAGGACTGGCAAGCACACAGTGGTTCTGCCAGCTTATGATCTTGTTGCATGTCATTCTCACCTTTGCGTGACTGGTTTGCTTTCATACAGCTGTGGATGCTGAGTGAGGGATTGTAAGAGAATCTCAATGTCAGCCTCATGAATTCCTTAACTTTTTGAATTCAGAGAAAAGTGTGCATGATCAGACAGCAGGAAGAAAGCAATCCATGCCCTTGAAAAGCCTCATCAGGATAAAGTTGGTGTCTCTTGGGGGAAAAGAAGAGAGGTAGGATTTAAATCAGGTCTTTTCAACCTATAGGTTTCCAACCTTGGAAATACCAAGAGCTACCATTTGCCAAAACACAGTGAGAATGTGCAGTGAGAGAGCTCCTCTGGAAGCGAGGGCCTGCAGGCTGGTGGGTCTGAGTACCTCCAATGCCCAGGCATAACTGGCTCAGCTTCAGTCCCCGCCATGCCAGCTGGGTGGAGAAGGGCCTCGGTATGTCAGAAAGCGGCTGAGATTTCATCTCCTTTATCCCCTCTGAAGGTATTAGCTAAGGGGCTGGAGTAACTATGATCTTCTCAGTCCAAATCAGGGAGATCAAATCTGATCTACAAATGGTGTGACGTGAAAACTCAGGCATGCCTGTGCTGCTGATTTTACTCTCATCTTAGGAACAGGGTAGCAACAGAGATGTTCATAGAGCTCGTAAGATAACCACAGCCTTATTAAAGTGTTCCAGTCGATGAAATTGGGGTTGAAACCATCACCAGAAGTCACTAACACCAGTACGTTGTTTTGCAGGAACAGCAAAAAGGTCTTTGTTACTGGACAGCTGGAAACGCAGCTGACCCAAGGAAAAACCAAGGCACCGCAGTCTCTGTGGTGAGACGGGTACCAAAGTGCCCTGCTGTGGCCAAGTGCTATCACTGGGCATCTGGGGCTTCGCCAAAGGAAAAGGAGTGAGGGACCAGGCATGTAAAGTGCCAGCCTGAAACCAGCTGCCTCCCTGACAGCAGGGAGCAGGCAGGCGACATCTGCCCTCTGTGAGGCACAGCTAACAGCTGCACCCACATTTTGCCTTAGAAGGAATAGCTGTCTCACACCGGCGGGGAGTGCAAACTGGCAGCAGTGGAAGAGGAGATGAAAGGTCAGTGAGGAGGGAGGAACAGCACAGTGGCTGACAGCTAAAGAGCTTCGGTCCCAGTTGCAGACTGCTGCTGAGGAGGGCAGTGGCATCTGCTGAAGTTTAAAAGAAAAGCTGGAGGCAGTCCTAGCAGAAGGTGGTAAACCCCAGTTAATTCCTATTTACAGAGAAAATGCAGAAACTCTGTATTATCTATGTCAAATCAAGGTGCTGAGTCCCTCAAAGACTTAGAGACTTGAACACTCCAGTCTCACAGGAGCCACGAGCAAGCTCTGGCTCACACAAATTTGTCTTTGCAACAGGCTGTGCTGAAGCAAGTTTTCATAAAGCCTGACTGCAGGTGGCATAGCCCCTCTCCTCCCCATTGCCTCCACCCCTGCCCCCAGAGCAGAACAAGCTCCCCTCTCCTCACCTAACTACACAACTGCAATGTTGAACCACTACTGTAGTTGTGAAACATTGGCTGATGGGATTCCTGGGCTTGGTAAATCCGCTGTGCATCACCCTGAGTGTAAACACAGATCTAGAGGAACATGAGAAGCAAACCAGCCAAGTTTGACTGACCTACATCCTAGCCCTCTCCTGCTTCAAGGGGACTGTCCCTGTCAAACAGACCTTTAAGTTGACATACATGGGGGAAGGAAAAAAAAAAAAAAAGGGGTAAATTGCAGCTGGGTGCTTTTTAGGCAATGCAAGTAGAAGCCTAGACTCCTCACCTCTAGTACACAGCTTTCAGCCTCTCGACACTCCCAGCAGAAGCAATTAATTTCTGGGACAAGCAGAGAGCTATCCTGCTCCACAGATGTTTCCTCTTAGTTCTACTGGACTCGAGTCAATGAAAACGTGGCAATATCTGCACAGCAACACATGGAACTTTCCACCAGCCCAGATGGGAACAGGAGCAGTCTCAGTTGAAGCCTCTATTAAAACTCTAACTGCTATTTTTGTTTAGGATAGAAGGGAGGGGTTAAAGAGAGCTAAGAAAATAGAAATGGGCAGCATAGCCCTTAGCACGCCTGAGAACCACAGTCTCAAAGATTTCTTGGCAGATGTTGTATCAACTGGGAGAGCTGTCAGCCCTTTTACCTCTGTCAGAGCTTTGTTTATCCGTCTGGGACATGAGCTGGTAGCAGCAAACCTCCAGGGGCAGCTGAGACCAACTAGCAGCTGTGTAATACTTTTGGCCAGGCTCATTATTTATATCTCAGGGGTAGAAGCAGCCCCAGTCTGAACTGGGGTCACACTCCACCCCACTGCTTTTCCATGTCAACAGATGGAAGGTAGCAAGTATGGAAGGAATAGGACCCCTTGAAGACCCCCAGTTCATTCTGTGCCTGCTTACACAGCTACAGAAGACCCAGGGGGAAGACACACATGGTTAGAGGAACCACTGCAGATACTTGCACCATGTTAATTTACAGTGATGCTCTCAAGAAGTGCTTGGTACCAAGTATTTTGTGACTGGGGCAGCCATTTTTGTATACACAGCAGCTCCACAGGTTTCCCTGTGCTGGCAGCAGACACAGATGCTCAGGTTCCAAGAGTTTGCTTTTTAGGTATCTTGAACACATAGCCTAGATCTCAGATGGGCTAAAGATTTGCCAGAGTAAGAAGTGGAGAGGGAATGCACATATACTCTCCTCCACAGAGCTGTCCGTTAACACGCTTGAAACACAGTGGGGTTTCTCTCCCCTACCTCCAGCTCACATAACAATCAATTTAAAATTAAAAGGATCTGGAGAGGGGACAAGAAGCATCTTAAATGACGTAACTTGCAAAACGCTTGGAGATCCGTCAGCTGAAAGGCTATGAAGAAATACGCTATTATTACCATGTTACAAAATTCACCCTGGAAGTAACTCTGGGCAGCCTTTTGGTATCCAACCACAAATCTGTAATAAAACAGGCAACAACTATTCAGAGAATGGCTGTGATTTAAGACTTGCAATCTTCATTTAGATTAACCATTTTCTGAAACATTAAACAACACATGACCAAACAAAAACTGCCTGTGGTAAGTCTAGGGTACTGTAAATGTTTTTTTTCTCCCTTCACTTTTCTTTCTACATTCTTACAAGTAGCCTTGTGTGGCAAGGAATGGAGCACAGCTACTGTAAAGCTGATGCCAGGTTAGTCTTTGCCTCACACAGAATAACTCTACTGGAGTGATTAAAGATGATACATATATAATCATTGTCACTTCTTGCCTGTGTTACTACGTAGCACTACCATAACCTACCTAACCCATCACTTAAGGTACTGAAAAAATCCCACCTCTTCAAAATAGACATCTCGGGCAAATTTTGTGGGACAATTTACTTTTTCTTTTTTTTTTTTTTTGTTTGTTTTAACCTGCCTGCTCGTTATAGTAGTGGCTACACCTATCTGAAATACACAGTAGTACTGCAGAATGTTCTTAATCTGATATTAGGAAATTAAAACAGGAGATTCAGAAAATGCTGCTTAAGTAAGAGCTCACTGATTCCTGGATTATTGTAGTAACTTTTGCCATAATGTTTGTTCAAAATGATCCTTCTAACACTTGCAGCTGAAATATCAACTTCCAGAAAACCAGCTTTTTCCTTTGACTTCTTCCATCTGTTGTCTCTTCCTATCCTGCCAAATAAACAGCTCTTTGCTGGGTCAGCCAATTGATGTAGGGAGGGAATCAAGTGCTTTGAAGACCTGGTGATACAACTTGATTGCATACCTTATCTGCCATCTTCTGTCTTTCCCCATAAAGGACCATTACTGGCAGCCACTAGGCTTTTCCAGCTGAGTTATCAAACTCTTAAAAATTAATTTATTTTCCCTTCTACCTTAGCCATGCCCCCCCGCCTTAGCCAACGTGAGAGGTTTTGGCTAGATTACTATTGTGCCTGTTGGCAAAAGGGATAGGCAGAGCTCTAGTGAGCAAAGAAATCTTGGTTTAAAATATGAATTGGAAACTTGGGACCATGTTGTATTTGTAGTAAAATCTAACCACACTTTATTCAAAGAAAAGTAAGATAATTTGAAGGAAGATATCCCCCAAGTGCTGTTCTCATCTGGCTGGTGAACAAAAAAAAATTTCAAGAGGCCCAAAACCTGGCTTGTACCACACCGAGGACAAACCCATGTATGCTCTAGAACACAGCAGCTGGTCTGCAGAAGTGGAACACATGGAAACAGAATTAAGTGGAACCTACACTGGTCACTGCTGAAAACAGACCCAAGACTTCCCAGGCAATTGCATCAATTGCTGCTGGTGCACTTCCTAGGTGCGGACAGTTACCCATATGGAAAGCATCTCAAATTTGCTTATTCACATTTAACTGTAGCTTTCTTTACGCTCAGTAACATTTTAAAAGCCTCTTAGCCAGAATGATAAAGGTACTGGAACAAGAAAATATCCTTTTTCTATATACAAACTGACAAGATTGCACAACCAATTAAAACCAGTTTTGAACATTTAATAAAAACTCATCCTAGAAATCCAACTTTCTGCCGTGAGGTCCCCAAACTCTCTTCTTCATCCAAAATCTTCTGAAGGGCTATGTGCAATGACTTGCCTACTCTTCTTCCCGTCTGCAATGCAAAGAAAGCAAAACAAATCTGAGACATATGCTTATTAGCAGGAAGACGACTCTCACGGAACACTTCCTTTTGACAAGCATTTTCCCTTTAATGATTAATATACACCAGCTGGTATAATAAAAATATGCTTTTAATTAAGAAAAATAATGGTGGTGGAAGTTTCATTTTAATTTGATTAAGTTTTGGAAAAATGTACACATAAAGGCAGTGCTCCCATTCATTAGAGAAACATTCCATGATCATTAATACCGGATCTGTGCACCGCTGGATCACCCAGGAATATAAATTAAATTCACATCAGGCACAAGCACACATTCAAATTAGCCAGCACATGCAGTAAGCAGCAACGTTAGCTGCCAGAGGACATGAGATACCTGACCAGCAAAGCAGCCTACTAATACAAAGTTCAGTAAACTCTTCTGAATGTGCTCAGAATCAGCAGGTTGAATTTAGACCAGCTCAACACCCTGTCATGTGGCCAAAGAAGCCCAAAATGCACACTGGCTGCGTCACCAAGTCAGTCTGTGTGCAGATCCTTCATTATGATGTGCAATTCTGTACTGTCCAAGGACCTTAAAGGAGTTAACAGAAGGTTTTCTTTACAGAAATAAACTCCAGCAGTGGAAAACCACCAGGATTAGCTCTGATACCAGCCTCTACTCTTCTCACATGCACAATTGTATCTGTGGAAGCTGCAGGACAGGGAAACATTGGGCAATGCTGAAATAAAGATCTTAAAGCAGTGGTGCCTATTAGAGCTTTCCCAGGGTTTCTCTAAATGACCTGAAATACTGACTCCATTCAGAGATGAAGAGAGCCTACCTGTCCCAAAAGAGCCAAAGACAGATTATATTAAACTGAGTTTACTAGGTCCTGATCTATGCAATGAAGCCTATGCCTGCCATACAGCTGACCGCAAAGCTCTCTTTCACCTGTTGATGACAGTTGCCAACATTGTGGGCACACAAACCTTAAAATAAGGTACATTTCTAATCAAAGAGTGAGGTGACAGAACATGGCCCATAGTACCAAATGAAATCTGGGAAGAGCTTTGATGCAGCAGGGTAGCTGTCAATGCTAGACACTATGAGTGACGGTAAATTAGGGGGGGCACACACAAGAATTTTTACAGCTCTGCAGTGGGACAAAGATCACAGCAGCAGTCCGGAGTCCTGAGGGGTGACAGAGTTTTTGCATTCTCCTCAAATGTAAGACAACACCACTCACACCAGGTCAAAGTCAATGGAAACTGTGCAGAGCTTTGGTATTGACACAACACTGTTCTTACTCCTGCTTGCCTCTCTTATGGGTTGGATCATAAACTCAGTAAAAAAAAAGCCTAATGCTAGCAGCTTCCCAAAACTTTCCCGTAAAGCTGTCTTCCTAAGAGATAAGTCCTACAACATCTGTTCGCTACCAGGCAGGGAAAGCTGAACACTCTCTGACCTGCAGCCAAATCATAAGGGAATGGAGGTGTCAAGCAAGGGCTATGCAGCTCTTCCACTGGACATTCCCAGGCCTTTTTGTTTTTCTTGGTATCCTAGTCAGGCAGCTGAGTTTGAGGCAGGGCCAAACAGATAATCTCTGACCTCCTAGACAACATCTTGGTTTCTTCCGATCAGCTTTATCCCTCACGCCTTCAAACTGCTCACCACCCAGGAGGGAAGATTTCTTCCAAAGCAAGTGAGAGACAGCACAACTCCCGGGGTGATGAGCTTAAGCTTTTAACTCCTTGCACCAACAAGTAGTGACAAGTTCACTAAAGCTCTTAAGAAGAGTAGGATGGTTTGAAGATTTTCCATTATTACCTTCCATACGCATCTCTGATTAGTGTTTAGATGATCATTACATAATCCCAAGCACAGTCTTTGGGGGTAGGCTATACAATGGAACTGCAGAAGTTCATTTCCTATTTAGGGCTCAATGTAGAGCGAAATTGGTTATCAAAACAGAGGCTTCGGTCAAAGCTTTGTGAAGATAATTTGCATGGAGGCCAGCTTCTATCATGAACCTGTATCTGACTTAAGCACCCATCTCTTTGTAACAGCCCTAGACCCAAAACCTCAACCTTCTATGACATTTAGTTAGAACTGGACTCAAAATCCATCAAGGAAGACACATCAGATGCTCATGGGAAGTTTGGTTTCTTTAGGATGCTAGATTAGAGATAACACCTCTCTATCCAGATAAGGGAGGTAAGTGACATCTTTGAATGCACATAAAAAGCCCACTGGTACCACCAAGATTAGCACTCTGGATTGATGTCATGAAACAGTGAAGTGCCATATATACTCAGCATGTAATTTCCAGTTGAGACCAACTGTTTTCAAACTTGGCTCCAATATCTGCATTCCTCACTACAGCCATGCTGAAATTAGTTCTGGATTTCTAGGAAACAGAGCCAGTTTGAAGTATTTAATTTTCATTCTGACTCCAAGTTCAAAACCCATTTCTTTCTCATGCTGAAGGTCAAACCCAGGCATGAGAATTTATACTGGAGAACAGATTTAAGAAGAGCCTGAAGAAAGGTTTAAAATGGAATTCTTATGTGGATGTGAACAACATCCAAATACTAGTATTTTCATGGAGTAGGGACAGATCAGAAACCCAATAAAGGACTGAAGAAAAACAACAGTAAGATAAGAACAGTCAGCTTATCACAAACCAAATGAGTTGTGCTAGAAGAGAACACCATGCACTAGCAATTCAAAGTACCATCTCTACTTCTATAGGGACTTTACCATGTTAGAAGTTTTGCTCTTTCAGTCTTTAAAGGAAACAATGAGAGAGGGAACATGTTCTTTAAAAATACTCTCAAAGTTTATCAACTTAAGCTTTACAGTCTTACAGCTGTGAAGTACTTGACTGAAACAAATGTGAGTACCATAAATTTCAGGCTTTTAAAGTTTAGGTAACATCCATTCATTTCAAAGGAACTGTCTGTAACCTTCAGTAAGTCTCTTGTGCACCTAATCAAAGCACCAAGATCTCTGCTCTTGAAGTCCTTACTGCAGCTTTTCATATACCCAAGTTCCAGCTCATCCAGTATCATCCAAGACAGTAACTGCTTAAAACTCCTTACCTCCATCATTTCAAAAATACTCTCAGGATCCAGGCTACCCTTCCCCACTTTCTTCATTGAAGTGAGGGCACCTTTACTGGTCACAGAAATAAGCAGGCTGGCCAAAGAACAGGCTTCTTCCTGAAGGGTAGCATCCACCACATGCCTATATCCAATCTGTAAGTTAGTGACAAAATTACATACTGTTTTGCAGTTGTCTAAGCTCTTCATTAAGAAGTTAAACTGAGTGGTAGCTCTGTTAGTTATCTACAGCCTCCCATCCTAATATCGTGTGGCCTTTAGTGGTGGTCAGAGACTGACCTGACAGCACAGTATTTCAACAGCCTCTGACCCCAGATTGTGTGTACATACATAAGAGATGTGAGATAATCATGTGACTATTTCATAGGGTTTTCCTCTCTGACTGTCCTTTCATCTATATGAAACTCCATATTCCCCTTTCCCCGCAACTCCAAGCATGGACCTTCTTCCCTCCTATGTGAAAATTACACATCCCAAGACTCAGGTGAGCCCCCACTTCAGTGATGGCCTTTCTACTATTTATGCAACTTACTTAAAAGAAATGTCAAACAAACTTGCAGGTAACTAAATAAATCACTAACTCTTGCAATGGAAAATGCAGCATCCAGCAAATCAACTGTGCTAGCTGTGTGCTCTATGTGGAAAAGGAAAACAAAAACCTGTTTGAAAGGAAAGGACAGTATTGCACCCATGAAAATGGAGTTCTGTTCCCAGAAACAAATACTCATTGTGTAACTCCAGGCAGATCACACAACCTTTGCGCCTCACAACAATGACCATTTGTTTTAACATATTGAAGTATCTGCTGCTCTGGATGTTGAGCAAGGAGTAGACAAAAAGTAATAAACAACTCTTCTGCATGCAAGAAGATGCATTTTAAGAATGCATCAAGTAGAAACCTGCAAGTCAGAGGTGGAAAAAAACCCCACCTTATTCAGTAAAAGTTCTTAATTAGGAGGCCAAAGATGAGCAACTATATACATAGTGGACATTGACCATTTCTGTAACACAAGTTTTATCTCTAGGGGAGAAAATAAACAGCAGGTGAAGTTAATAGAAACTGAAGTCTCTAGGTAGAAGGTCAGAAATTTGTCAGGCTTACCTTGCTTAGTGTGACGATGCAGGGCACATCATCCACATTAAGTCGAATACAATCATAAGGGTCATCAGACAGCTCAATCTCTTTGGAGCCTTCTTCATCCTCCAGAACACGCACTTTGGGTATTCTGTGGAAACAAAATGTGCAAAATCATTGCCAGAACAGATAACAAATACAGTTGTCATAGAGCCGTACAGGAAGTGCCCTTTCCTCTAAATGAGGCTAAATGTTTACAAAAAAAATCCAGAATGTTATCAACTGTATTAACAACTCACTCACTGACACTAGGAAGAAAACATTGTAAGAGGGAAGATATTTAGGATAAGATCATCATATTTAAATCATTCAAACCATTAGAATTTGAACTGCTTTCTACACTAATATATGGGGAGAGATTCTTTTGGCATTTGCATGAATCAGTTCTGAACAATTCTTTGTACATCTGCCTGGATGTACAGGAGAGAAATTACCAAGACTGAAACCTTTTGTACTGTGGTTCCCAACCTTGCAGACAACAGTAAAGTTGTCAGAATTACAGCAATTGCATAGCTTGGCGAAGCTGCAACATCAGTAGCAAATACAAGTATTAAGGCTGCTCAGGAAAGACTGACACTAACTAAGGAGCCTTGGGGTAAAGGGAAAAGATGACATTAGTAAAATCCTTTCTCTTTACCAAGATGGGAAGATTGACAAGATATTCTCATTCTTTAAGAAGCCAGAAGACTCTGCTGTTCTAAGGACAGATATTGTGAGTGATGAGCTCTTTCACAAATGAGCTAGACAGGCTCCTTATACTATAAGAAGTATCACAAGTATGTATATTGTATCTGTACTAGCCATTTAATGGGAGTTTTACAGGATGATTTAGTGCAGTTTTCTTAGCATAATGAATAAAGTCATTTAAAACAATTTAGTAGAAGATGGTATCTCAAGCCACCAAGAACGTCAACATCTTATATACCCTCATTTATTCAGGTGCCCACTAGGATGGAGTACTGACTGAGAGACTGTGCTTTACTGGCCAGTAAAACCTACACACAGCTCAACCATAGTACTCTCACTTTCACACATTTGCATTTGAAAACATAAAATACTTCAAGACGTCCCTAGAAAGCTAACTTCAGTAACCATGTGGAATGTAACCACAATCTGTTTTTATATTAGTACTTTTACAGTAGCGTTGTGTGTTATAACTAGACTCTGGAGGTTACATTCTTTTACGCATTCTGTACCATATCTCTTTTAAAATAGAAGCAGATAGGAACTGATTTAGTGAACATTTCCCCCATCAACACAAAGCGATTTTTGTTGTTTCCTGGAATAGTATTTTAGTTATTTGTGGCTAAGAGTCGTAGAGGTGAGTACTTCACAACAGCCAACCCTGCTTCAGTGAGAACAAATTCCCTACAAGAACACTGGCCTGAGCCAAACTAAAACTAAAATTTTCAGTAAGCAGAACAACTGCAATGTGTACTTTTTCTTGAAATGGAACTCAAAATGCTTTGCAACTCATTGGAAATGCATCAAATCCTATTTTCAAGTTAAAAATAATCCATTAAAAATTGATGGAATAAAGGCACAAGGTGACTAACCTTCAAGCTACAAAGGCCAATGGACAACATTGGACAACAGCCTAGACAAGAAGTGTACGTGCCAGAGCAGTGTTTAAAAAAAGAAGGAAGATTTCAAGAAAATCTGTGAGTTTAAGCAATTTTTAACTCCATCCTAAACCAGCTAAGAAACCAGAGCAATGTTTGGTCTGCAAGAAGAAGTTGCCAGAATGAATACCTGAAAAATGCCTGTAAGGAGCTGTTTTGGCCAAGCACAGATGACAGAGGTACAAATTAAAACTACTGCAGAGGCAAAAAGACAGTTGATCAGATACAACCATCACAGTTGCATAAAAACGGGGTATATACGCACAAAAACTAGGCAAAGAGAGTGTAGCATGAAGCACTTCCAGAAAACTGGAGATTTCCTCTCCCAGCTTGTGAAGATTTATCTTAAGAACTAGCTGTACATGTATATTTGGCAACTTTTATTTTTCTGTTTTAATTCCTGCAACTAATCACGGGAGGGATCTGTACAGCAGGACTTAGTCACATAACAATGCTCTCTCTCTCTTTTCTGTATGCTGCAGACCCAGATTTCACAACTGCAAAACCAGTTCTACCCTTGCAAGCAGGCATTGGTTCTGCCTCTACCACGCTGCCCAGCACAAAAAACACGACATCTGCAAGGCTATTGTGTTATAAACTCTATAGCTTTTGTAACTTGCCTAGTTTGTTGCCCTGGTTGCAAGTAGGCACATTCCACAGGATCAACTTTAATGCTAAGTCCTGACACAGTAGCTACTTGCACATTTTGCAATATCTACTTCCATCATGGATTGAGCCTTAAGCACCCTGTAGACACAGTTGAAAAGAAAGTTTGATATCTGCTATATTTTGCACATGATATTGATATAATTTTTAGAACACAATGAACAATACAAAACTCTGAGAAGTAAATGTTCCCCCTAAAACAGTCATATTGTCATTGTCCCATGCCTGAAGGGGATACAATGAGTCAAGCCAGACATACAAAGGACTTAAATCCCAGAATTCTTACGTGAAATTCCTTAAGTTTCAATTTTGGATTTACTTAGCCCTAAAGAAAAATGTGTCCATAGCTATTATAAAAATGGTTAGAGCAAGATTTTAAGGATGAAGATGAGGTGTTCAAATGCCTATCTGAATATCTAAAAATTTGTAGCTTCAAAGAAAAAACAGCAGCTTGAGCTCCCTACTCTTCATTCCAAGGCTGCAGTCAAGGCTGACAAAGATCTGAAAACACTTAAAACAGAAACCTGGTTGTAAACAGATTATGAAAGGCAAGTAAGACTCAGAGGGACACACATGTCACGAGAAGTTCAGAACACTTAATCTGAAGTGATCTTCAGACTGACGTCTTGTCTTGCTTAGACAATAATATTTTATGGAGAGTGGGCAGCTACTCTAAACAACCTTGTGTCAATCCAAGGAAAATTTAGTAGATACCAAGGGAAAGGGAGAGGAATAGTGAATGAGGACAACAGGTTTTCACTTTGAATTTCACCTCTTGACTTTCTGAGCTCATATGAGATTAGATGAACTAATATTCCCCACTCAAATCAATAACAGGGTTTTCACAGGTAAGAAATCAACAGGCTCTGCATTATAGCATACTGTACCACATTTTCATTTGATATCCGACTTCCACAAGACTGTGAATGCTTGCCCACAGATTAAAGATTATATGAAGGATACAGTTGTCAGAAGAATAAAAATAAAGCAGAATCATTAAAACAATTACACCCTCCATGTTGCCCAAAGTAACATATGTTCTTGTATTTATTTATTTATTTTAATTACTTTTTGTATGATCTGCCCTCTTTATTCAGAACTAGAATTCTGGTTGAAATAAGAAAAAAGATAGTTATCTTGTAAATAAAGTACATGCCTTGGATCTGTAAAACAACTCTCATGGGAGCAACTCTTAACTATACGACTTTTACATCCTGGCAGCTCACACACAGAGACATAGACATTTCTTCCCTTCAGTGTACTGTCAACTCTTTTGTGAGCCATTATGTTTGTGACAGTACTTCTTAATGCTACAAAAACAATATACTGTTAAAAGTTATTGTTGAGAACTTGATTAACAAGGGAAATTTCTCAGCAATACATACAAGTTGTAGTCTGAGATGGATTCTCCCCTTATTCCCTTTTAAAGTGTTTATAACCTGATATACCACCTCTCTTCAAAAGCATTTTTCTCCTCCTCTTCTTGCACGTACTTTTCCAGCTCTAGTACTGTGCGCTGATTCCCTGATGAATAAGCCAGAACTATACCAGTGACTTTAGCAGATCTACAGCCGAGGAACAATTTGAGATCCACTTTTAAAACATTTATGCTTTAAGAGTCTAACTTTTGCACCTCTTCCAGCTACTTTTACTACATAAGTTTTTTAGCAAAGCCATTCACCACTTTCTTTCTAAAAGGTGCTACAAAACTCTGTATTCCCTTTCACCTATAGATAAAGAAGATAAAAACATTAGAAAAAATATTGAATGTTAACATTAAAACACACACAGAGCACTTGCATCATTCATTCTACTAGATTCTGTTCTTCCACTCTTTGAATTAAAACATACGGGGCAAAGTTCTTTTAAAGACATATCTTTTCCCCCTCCCCATGATCTCTCCCCACCATTTTTCCTCTTAGTTTTAAAAAAGCCTCTAGACTAACAGTTAATGGGAAAGAACATCAGCAGTAGCAAATCAGGGCTAGTTACAAATCAGTAGTCACATTGACAGAGGGCTTCTTATTCAGGAGAATCACATATCAGTAAATACTTCTTAGTTTAAACCCACAAGGCATCAACACAAAGGCCTCCAACTACTTGCAACAAAACCATAAGGTCAAGACAATTTTTTCTGGATCTCGCTACAGAACAAAAGTTATATAGTAAGCCTGATTGTGCATATAATGCAATATGATACTTAATTATTAAAATCATTAGTTCATGTTGCCTGCATGCAAATGGACTGCCTTGTATCTGAATGCAAGTTGCCTTGGATATTTCTTGTTTAAATAATGAAGCATTAAAAATGCTTAGCTCCCAGAGAGTACTTCTCTTCTACTTCCCGTACCACTTTCACTCACATGAAATGAGATCTGTGCTTTACCTTGTGTTAAAGAGAGCTGCCTTCACTGCGATAGAGATTGCATCAAAGAGGTTGCCACCACATTCCAATAACTGGAGAGGAAAAAAAGAATCTCTTTAAAAGCACATCAGGCTAGTGCCTTTAAACCGAGTCTTTATTTTACTTAAATCTACTTGAAAAGGCACAAAATTAAGAACCAGAACAGGTTTTTAAAAACCAAAGTTGTCTTTCAAGCCTATCTATGAAAAGAAAGAACAGATTGGAAATTAAGATTTCAGCTAACTGTATTATACATATAACATAGAAGAGTTAACATACTTCATAATAAAATTAATGATAACATTTAATAATAGAAGCTGAAATGAAACCACCGCTGTTCTTACTCTTCTTGTGCTAAGGCTCCAAACTAGGCTATGACCCGAATACTTTTTATAAACTCACCACATTCATTCTTTAATGTTAAATCAAGCCAATCCATTTTCTATACTTTATTTCAAAGAGGTGTCTTTTTTAAATATCAGCTGGACAAACCCAATTGGTAGAATTGTTTTCAAAGAAGTGATGCAAACTGTCACCTAGAACATGGTATGAAAAGCTAGTTATAAAAGGTATAGTTATGAAGGCACATCATGATTTTTTCTCTATTCTTTATGGAAAAGGAGTCATCAGCTGGTTTGTCTTGTAGCTGAAAAAGATCTAAGGAAATCCTGATGTCAAAGTCTACTTGTTGATAATACTATCATTTGAATACTATCAAGTGTGTGGAGGGAGTCTAGCTTAGCTTTTTCCCATGAAGATCAGAAGAACAAAGAGAAGAACAGCACTGCGGACTAGATAAAAAGGCAGGTCTCCCATAACCACTAATATCTTCTGCAGGCTAACAGACAACTCAAAGATGTATTTGGCCATAGTCTAGCATTAGCTCTCTGACAAGCTCCGCTCACAGCTGCCAGTACTATTCTATGAACACACAAATCCCCAGCAAGCATTTGAAACTACTTCAGTGAGAACATATGGATGCCTCTCCATTACATCAATCTATGCTGTATGATGACAGCAAAACAAGTTTTGCAACACTGATCGCGTTGATTGCTCTTCAAAATCTATTTAAGAATGAGATAAACTCCTGCACTGGGAGCAAATCATAAATCAGACATTCTGGAAAGACAATTTATTTTTATGAAGACAGACTGAACTGTGTAAAAAGAATGACAAAAAGTTGGGATAGAAAGCTAAATACAAAGGTGATCAGATTATTTCTTTGCAAACAGCTGCTGGATACAAAGAGGTTAACTTGCCACTTTCAGTCATTATTGGATTTTACTGGATAACTCAATAAGCCCCACAATGTCTTTCTTATTAAAACACAATAATGGGATGTGCCTGTACTGTTGCTAGGCTTATGTTCAGGCTGCTATTCTAAAGCCTTATCTGTATTACAGTGGCGCCTACAGGCGATGAACACAGCCTGTATCAAGCATGGTGCAACAATTCCTCCAAAAAGAAATGAACACTCTCTTCTCGGCTGAAGCACCTTGTACTGAGATCTGTGCCCCTGCCCCCGCGCCCCTTTTTTTAAGGGCTAAGAAAGTCTGCACAACTGTGAGTTGTGGGAAACAAAGGCGTCTTTACAAAGGACTGCTTTTAATTTACTGATACACAAGTGAAAAAGTGATTGGGAGTGGGGAAAAAAGAGAAAACATTGTAGACCTTGCCTTATTCAAAGGTTTTCCTCCAAAAGGACTGATTCCTACTGGGGGTTCTTTTTCCAAACTGGGCGGGGGACACACAAAAACGATGAGGAAATCCTCCAAGGGATGCTCAGTAGTGAATTGCTAAAATTTCAACAGAACCTAATGCACACCCCCAACACAGAATGCACTGTGATTGAGTAGGGAATGAAAAGAGATTGCACACTTTGATTCTCCCTGCTCAGCACGGCAGGCTGCTGAGGCAAATTATGTGGAGAAGGTTATACATGTATCAAAAACACCCTCAAAAATGCCTAAATGCTTATTTCTGACATCAATGACTTAGAAGGTGAAAGAAATTGAGGGAAAGGCAGAGAGGGTGAGAACAGGCTTATAGTTATGTAGTCCCGATTATCTCCACATTCATGAGCTACTCTAGAAGTGGAGCGCCTTCTATTATTAAGAAAGAATGCATGTATTTTGAAAGGTCAAGGTATATATTCTTGATCTTTGGCATATATCTATATGTGTCCATATGTCTGCATCTTTGTGGTGTGTATAGTTGAAGTTATTTTCTTTCCAGTCTGACTGTACACAATTATAGTACCTCCCAAGTACACTGACGACTAGGAAATATTTGAGAGATGTTTTTAATCAATAATCTGCATGACTATGCAAAATATACTATTTTTTCTTTTGAGGTTGCATATCTCAAATTTTGTTTACAGATAAGAGGTGAATATAGATGCTTCGATCAAAGTGCACATGGCTAAATTACATAGCAATGGAGTATCTCCAGGTTTCTAACATTCTTTCTGGGTTTTTGTCTTTCGGAATGAGGGACTTGAAAACAAGTACCTTCCCACCTGACCACAAGATACCGGTATTTTCAGGCTTATGACAGATTTAAGGCTTTTTTTTTCCACTCTAACTTAACTATACAACACAAACATGAATGCAAACAATTTCCAGGAATTCTGAAGGAAAACATCATCCAAAGGACTCTCAGTAAGTACTGTTATTATATTTAGAATCTGACTCCCTCAAATGATGAATAATATGACTTGTACCTTATATTAGCATGTATTATTAGAATTCTATAGGAATGATTCAACAAGATCAGCTTCAGGAAAATCCATAGGTTATCAGGCACCTACATTAAGTATGAACTATCACATTATACGTGTCTTCTATTTGGAAAGGAAATAGTACAAGTACCTGGAAAATGTGAAAATACAGAGGCCTGGGGTGGGAGGAGGAAAAAAAAAAAAAAAAGAGGGGGGTACAGAATAACATTAACAGTATCTTGTTGTAAATGTACCAGCAGCTCTTCAGTGGCTCACACACATAATCCCGGCAGAATATGACATTAAAAAGACTCAACAAGTTAGAGTCCTAATTATGAACCTACAACAGATTCTTTACTGGCACTGTAAACAAAGATAAACATAAAATTCATCTCATAACATAGGTTTTGACATTCATAATTCTGATACAACTAGTAGCATAAAAATACTAAGGCTGTTTTTCTCTGTAGCTGTGGACAATCAACAAATTTGTCCAGGAAGAATCAAGTAATGACCTGCTTTTTAAACACCTAATGGACTAATTTTCACATTTATTTAGGTCTTAGTCTAAATGTTCCTGTTTTGTTTAACAAAACTCTGTATTTAATTTTTTTGGTAATACAGCTTAACATTTTGCAAATCATTTCATAGACATTAATGGATTCCTGTGAGTAAGACCCCTCAACATATTTTCAGTTACAAATTTGACAAGTAGAAACTCAACTTTGGACCAGTAAGAATTGGAAATAAAGCTCAGGAGAGTCTGACTTGCAGACTTCCATTAAATTCCCACAACAGAGTGCTTTAAATACAGCATAGTTTGGAAATTGAGCTGCTGCATGCACAAGATTTACATGTACAAAATTCAGTTTCCATTTTTTAATGGGAACAAATATTCAGTTTCTCTTCTACATTCAATATATGTATACAACTTTCATCAAAAAAATGCCTAGGCCAAACGTTACCTTACTGAATTAGTACTGGTAATAGTGCAAACAGGATGGACAGTTATGTTAGGGCTAACATACACCCACGCTAACTTACATTCATTAGAACAATACATTTGTTGTTATACCTAGCTTGGAAAAACGTTTAGTCGACTTTAGTGGCAATTTCTTCGATCACTGATTTTTATCTGTGACAGATTTGGAGTATTCAGTGTTTTTTATTAGCTCTGCAGTGGAGCAGTGGCATCAAGAAGAGCAGAAAAAGAGCAAGCTGGAAGTAGTGATTAACTATTACAGGTAGATTCACAAGAAAATGGCCATCCATGCTGTGAAGCATTATATCACATTATGAGAAGCTTTTTTTATATGAAAATACACATGGTTATGCTAAGTCAGTCAGCACCCTGAAAAACCTCCTTGAATCTTAGTTTAATTTCCTTACTTACCAATACATCAACATAGAGAACCCAGCAGTGCTCTCTGGGATTAATGCAAAGTGATTTCAAGTCTATACTGCTCTCGCTGCTAAATACTCTGTAGAATGTATTTGCTATCTCTGTGCCAAGTTCTTCTCCTCCTCGGCCTTCAAATTCAGGAGTAGCATTTGCAGAACTAGATAAAGAAAGAAAAAATACTTTCACTTCTGAAGCAGCCAATACCCAAGAACATTTCTTAAATATAAAGCATTAGAAATATCTAAGGATTTATTTGTACAAGAATAAGCATCCTATCTGTAAAGAAATTATTTGCATTTTGCGTAAGTAAATGTCTTGATCCTGATAATATATCTACATCTTGCTACAAACTCTGATACTATTTAAATTCCATTACTATCTTCAGTTCCCAAGTTACAATATTAAAGTTGGTGAATTCTCTCTGGGATTATTTCTTAAGCACTCTCATCATCTATCACCTCAACCCTTTCAAAAATAATACTAAGTTCGGAACAGCTAACAAGACAGCCTGTTAAGAATTGAATGTTAAATTAATAACAGAGTGGCTAAGAGAAAGATGTGACAACTTGACAAGTAGAATACACTTTTTTTTTTTTTAAAGTGACATGACTGCCTGACCTTAATTGGTAATTTCTTTATTGAGTGTACTCTCTGCTATCAAGCCACTTACAGACAGCAGCTCATAGAGGGGAATGGATAGAGTTCCCTGCTTGGGGAGGCAGGCAAATCCCCTCCCAGTCTCCCTCACCTTCCCAGTTGCCCCTACACAACAGGTATGGGGCTCTGGAACTTGAGGACCAGGTCAATGAAGATCAGGGTGTAGATGAACCCCTATCTAGGGAGGTGCCTAGGCTCAGTCAGGCAGCCCCACGCATTCTCACAGCCTCTGAAAAAAGGAGGGTAATTGTCATAGGCGATACCCTTCTGAGGGGGACAGAGGGCCCAATATGCAGACCTGACCCATCCCACAGGGAAGTCTACTGCCTCCCTGGGGCCTGGGTGAAAGACATTACCAGGGAGCTCCCTGGTCTGGTTTGGACCTCTGATTATTACCCACTGCTGGCTGTGCAGGTTGGCAGTGATGAGATTGCAGAGAGAAATCCAAAGGCAATCAAAAGGGACTTGAGGGCCTGGGGCAATTAGTGGAAGGATTGGGAGCACAGGTAGTGTTTTCCTCAATCCCTTCAGTGGCAGGGAAATATACTGAAAGGAACAGGAAAACACACCTGGTTAATACATGGCTCAGAGGCTGGTGCCATCAGTGGAATTCTGGGTTTTTTGATCATGGGGAGGTTTACACGGCACCAGGCTTACTAGCGACAGATGGTGTCCAGCTATCTCAAAGGGGTAAAAGAATCCTCGCTCGTGAGATGGCGGGGCTCATAGAGAGGGCTTTAAACTAGGTTTGAAGGGGGTAAGGGATAAGACTAGGTGCACCAGAGATGAGCCTGGGGGCAGCGTGCCGACGTTAGGGGTGGATTCGATAGGCCAGCTCGAATGCATCGATGCCAACACACGCAGCGTGGGCGATAAACAGGAGGAGCTGGAAGCCATCATGCAGCAGGATAGATATGACTTAGTCGCCATCACGGAAATATGGTGGGATGACTCCCATGACTGGAGTGCTGCAATGGATGGCTATAAGCTCTTCAGAAGGGACAGGCAAAGTAGAAGAGGTGGTCGGGTGGCTCTCTACATTAGGGAGTGTTTGGACTGTACAGAGC